CCTCAGCTTCTCTCTGTTCCCCGGACCTAACTGTTCTGAGGACTAAGCAAGTTAGTGCACTTAAACATAAAAGGGTACAGAGACCAGGAGTGGGGGAGGAGCCAACGATGAAGTCTGTGGTGGGAACTATTCATCTTACATGTCTAGCAAGTTCATTTAAAATTCAGGGTCCAAACTTGAGGGTAGAAATCTGCATTTTTAGCTACATTATTTTATGGACAGTTCTTGCTACTATAGCTTGAAAACCACCACTCTTGAAAAATAAAAAACTTAAGACTTGAGTCCTACTTTAAAAAGTGAATTTTACAGTTCTAATATACCCATTTTTGATTTTCATGTATGAAAAGTACATCAGATAATAGTGTGTACCATTTGCTGCTGGATAAAGTGACGTAAGGAACTTTAAATATATCCTGGAGCTGAACCACTTCCTTGAATGTTCTCGCTTGAGACCAGGGACTCATGATGAAGGCAGAGATGAGCTTGAGTTCCTGATTCTTCTGCCTCCACCCCTCCCTGAATGCTGGAATTGCCAGTGTGCACCACCTCACCCAATTCCCTGCCATATGTCTATACAGCCCAGGTGCCATAATTAATCTGCATTGTCAACTTGATTGCAATTGCCATGGAAACACTACTTTGGGGAATGTCTGAGGGTGTTGAAGTTCAACTGAGGACTGAAGATCCCCCTTAACTGTGGGTAGCCCCTCCCTGTGAGTAAATCAGAAGGTTTTGAGTTCCAGCATTTGTCTCCCTCGGCTTCTTCACTATGATGCAGTGACCAACCCCAGTGCCACCATGTCATCACCTTCCCCACCATAATGAACTGCACCTTTAGACTGTGAGCTAAAATAAGCCCTTCCTTCCTTAGCTTGCTTTTGTCAGGCATTTTATCACAGCGGCAGGAAAAGTAACGACTACATGCCAAACGTCTGGTTTTTCAGGGTCTTGTCATGCTCAGTCTACTAAACTGGTGGACAGGTGTTTCCCCGAGATCCCTATGTAGCTGGGATGAGACACTCAACTGCCCCGAGTCCATCTATCTAGTCTCCCCAGTGTAGCAAACATGGACATCCCCTTCTCCTGGGCCACGTCTCATAAGCTTGCTTCCCAGACCACGCCTGCAGATGCAGTTCTCTACGGAGAACAGGCCTTACTGAGGTCAGGCGTACAGGGCACCTCTCTGTGGCTATTGCTCACTCCGCTGAGAAATCACATAGCAGAGATATCTTGGTTTTCTGCAAAGCTTTTCTGATATATACTTGGGGTAGGCTAATCTGTGGTGGTGGCTTCCTTCCTGGTGCCTCACCTTTAAATCTGGCAGAGGTGGTAGCTACTAAGCAGGTTAATCCTGCCATGTTGAAGAACTCACTCCAGAGACAACCCTACCTAACCATCCACATCTTTAAATAACCCACCGACTTAAAAAAAAAAAAAGAAAAACAAGTTTTCAGCCAAAAAATGTCTGTACAATTTTAAGTGTACTTAAAAGCAGACATTCAATATTCATCCCATTTTCAACAGTTACTAACTTATGTCCAAACTGATTTTGGTTTTGAGGCACGAACTCCCCATAGTGTCCAGAGTAACTCCAAATTCATGACACTCCTGACTCTGCCAACTGATCCTTGAATCCATGCAGACCCTGGGCTGCAGCATTAGCTCACCCCCCACACCTATTTTCAAGTACATCCCCACTGCACTTTGTAAAGCGGTAAACTCTAGAGAGTTCAGCATGATCACTGCCCACTCAGTGCTCACCCTGTGAAGCGCCTCTTACTCTAGGACACTTTGCTTTGCTTTGAGCCAGGACCCACATAAAGTCCGTAGACTGCAACTGGCTGACACATCTCAAGCCTTGATTGTCTACGTCCTCCTTTCATTGGTCTTCTTCCCCGCAACTGGTTTTGAGGAACCCATCTTGTTCGCTTCCCACTCTCTGTTATTTTGCTGCCTGTGCGCGATGGTTTGCTTGGCATAGTTCATACTTCAGTCTTCCGTAATTCTTATAAATTGCTGGGTTTCACTCTCCAAGATGCAGGTGAGTTTGCTGAGCTTGGCATTAGCCTCTGGCAGGCAGATAACAATAGCATGAGTAGTCTGGGAATATTTAAATATAGTTCCTATCTTGAAAGATTTGGGGGTAGGGATGGAGGAAGGGCTGGGGGGTGCTGCTTCTTGACTATCATGGGCTATGGGACTTTCAGCTGTTAATCTGTGAAAACCAAAAGATTCAACAGTGGCAATGTTCCTTGCAGGCTCCTGGGGTGGGGAAACAAAGTTATCTGAGTTATTCTCAGCCCTTCAAGGATGAAGTGTCTCTCAGGGTGCTAATTTATGGGTTGTCTCTTATTAGTACCAAGTTTTCTGGGCTTTGTCTGAGTTGTTTTCTGAGGTAGCTGGTTTTGGCAGAGCCATTGACCTACTTGCCAATTATGCCATGTTTTTAGAGGGTTAACACTTTCATTCAGAATTTGTAGTCTTCCCAATTCCCCCGGGGTGGGGGGTGAGTCCAAATATGAACAAAACATGCTCATATCTCACATGAAACAGAAAAGGCTGATGTAACAATACCAGAAGCATAACTAGATAGATTAGCAACCTTCAAGCAGCTCTGAGCGATCTCTGCCAGGTCATGTGGCTCCTTTCCTAACGAAGCCCACAAGGCTTCCCTGCTGCTGTGAGTAAGACTTTTTCTCACAGTAATACTTTCATTTTCTTTAGAGCACACCCTAAATTTCTCAGCTTTTGAAAAATGTGTCCACTGTAGAACAACTTCACTTGTTATATCATTGACACAATGAGAATGCAAGCTACAGGCCTCAAGACAAGCTGTTCAAACAAGCATGGGTTTCTTAAACATGTTCCACAGCTTCTTGGTTAAAAGTGTTCATCTGATGTCATGGGAAAGAAAGTCTCTTCGGCACCATCTTACAGTACCCTTTAAATAACTGGCCTCATGACCACCCAGCTTCACCTCACTTCCACAGCCTGCAGCTTCCTGCATCTGACGAGACGGGTTACACTGTCATTTCTCCACGCTTATGTAATGAATATGCTTATCTTGTGAAACTTCAGTGATGGTAAAGAGCTAGTATCTCTTCAGCTATTAAAACTAATGAAAGAAGTTGTGACCACAGGTGTGACCACAAGGACAGCTCCAGAACCCAGCAAAGGCAAGCCAACTCACATAAAGACAAAGACTTCCAAATGTTGCAGTCTTTTTCATTCAATTATACATTTGTAGCAGGAGAGCTGTGGTTAAGCTCACCCACCATCTGCAAAACAGTGACCTTCTCATCTCCCCGGTGCCTTCTTTATGAGGACTTCTCTGAGTCCTCAGATGCAGATGGAATCCTAGCTCCTACCCTGTTTTACCTGTTGCAAATCACATGCACCAAATATGGAGCTTTTTGACATGATGTAATTAAAAGAAGAGGCATATAAAGTAATATGAAAATAGATTAACTAAGCATTAACATCAGGAATAATCTACAGGCTACACCCAGTTGCTACCACTAGGTTGTCAACTTAAAAGTAATCCTGTTAGCAGTCAAATGATGAATCCAAAATCAATTTCCTCAGTCATTACTAAGATTACTTAAATGTTTAAAATCAAAATGCATAAAATTGTGGGTTTTCCTTATTACTCTTTAGTATTTGGAAATTATCAATCACCTTCTAAAGGAATGCATCAAGAACTAATTTCTTCTTATTTTGTGTGTGTGTGTGTATCATAGTAAAACTGACAAGGCACAGACTGAATTTATTCCCTCATATCTATTCTCTTTCTTTCAAGAGAATGCTCAGAACTTAGCTAAACATAGGCAGTTTGAAACAGAGAACTTGCCAGACTTGCTTGTCGGTCCATGTGACCACATAACTACATTCTGGTTAATAAAACGCAAATTGAAATGTACCAGAGCTTCTAAAAAGCTCCTTTCAAAGCACTGGCCCTGCCTGCTGCCACCACACACGCACACGCACACGCACACGCACACCATCCTTCCAGTAAAATGACAGAAAGTTAAAAGGACCTTAAATTCTCCAAAACAGATCATGGATTAGAGAGCTCACAGGAGTCCTAGATCTTTATCTCTGGCATTTAATATCAAGAGATAAATAAATCATTATGTCTTATCCAAAATACTTGGCCGCCCACCATCCCTCCAAAATACTGGCTCTCTCTGGATAGAGGACAAACTTCATAAACGAGAGATTTTCAGATATGTTAACCAACCACCTCTCTCCTCTTTTCTTTCCTTTTTCCTTTTTAAATTATTCTTATTTGAGACAGGGCCTGACTATACAGGTCTAGCTGTTCTGGAACTCACCGTGTAGATCAGGCTAGCCTCAAACTCACAGAGATCCTACTGTCTCTGCACCACCACACCAAGCTCACATCTTTCTTTAGGGACATATGTAGCTGTTACACACTAGGACAGATAGTCTAGGTTGGTATTGTGCCTCTGCCAATTAACTTCTATAGTTCTGTAGGTCTCTATGAACTGGGGTAGCGCCATCTATGTAAGAAGATCCCCTGGAGACCCACAAGTAAACATACATGAAAGTATCAGGCAGCATCAATCACTGTACACATTAACTGGTGAGACTACAAGACTACATTACACTGTATCTTCACTAACACGTGCTCAGTAAGTATCTGTTGAATAAATATGTTAACGTCTTTGATAAATTATTCTTCTTTTTCTGAGCTGAATGAAGCTGATGTTAGAGTAGTATCTGTGTTCCTAATGGGAACAAGTAACAACTCCTAATTTTGATGTTAGTCAAAAGATGCAAGAGTGTGTGAAAAGAAGCTAACCCACTTCTCTGGGCCAAAAGTAAACCCACTTGCAAAAGCAACACAAAAATAGCTGGCACGGTTGTACAGAAGTGGATATTTTATGACATTGTTCCTAGAGAATCACAAAGACACATCTTTAATATTTAAGTCACTAAACTTACCACATCAAACAAAGGAGTTCTTCACACTGGACTGTGATGAAAGCATTTTATTAAATTAAGTGTGTAATTTGTAAATGGTTTCATAAGAAATTTTAAAAGCAACGTTATAAACATTTTCAATAAAAAAGTACAGAGTTGACAGCAAAAAAATCACATTTTTATAGTACAAATAAAAACATTTTGTTTCTGATATACCGTCTGAAAATCTTATAGTCTATTCTTCAACTGCTAGCTGCAATGTGGCACTTTAATGAGACGTAGAGGAGAAACTCAACAAGGCAGGTTCATCACCTGACCACGGAGTCAAGCTGAGATGTGAGGACAGTGAAGGGACTCCGGCATCATCTAACTGAGGTTACGAAGGCTTCGGGACACGGGTGTGTTCGAGCCTTGTTTCTCTATTCGCTTCTGTAAAGAGGCATCAAGTAATACTGTAAACTTAAATCACACTTTAAAAATAAGCACCATTAACATACATTCTACATTAACTCACTTTTCCTTTTAAATGGCACTTGGTTTTGGCCACACAGACATTTAAGCCTGTTTCCTTTACAAGTATTTAAAAATAAGCAACACTTAAGCACGGCACAGAACATCATCAGTGTCACCTCATTGCACAAGGGAGAAGCACTCAGAAAAAACAACACACATTATTTTTGTCCATTTCTTACATTTTCTTAATTGAGAGCAGTTAAAACATTGTCAGAGCAATTTCTTGAGTTTCAAAAGTTTCCAATTGCCAGCTCAGAACTAACTAACTAATCTTGTCCTTACACATGTCCTTCTAAAGTGAACAGAACACTTGAATTTATAAAGAAGAAGATCAAAACAAAGGACAGGAAGCCACCCCAAAGAACTGGAAGCTTTTTCTTCTCAAAATCTGTTACCTATCATTTCAGTCACAGTTTCCACTATATAATATGGATGATACTTAAATGTCACAGTATATAAGTAGTATGGAAATGCTAATAAAAAGAAGAAAACTTCAACTCAAAAATAACAGCAATATATCAACAGCTAATAAATGTCAGAAAACATGTTCCAACTGTCTCACAGGATAAGGAACGAGACTGAGAATGGTCATGAGGCCCTGGCCCTCACACTGACTGTCAAGTGATTCCTATCAATTCTCTGTTTTCATTGGATTGATACCAGTAACAGATTTTAAAATGTATATTAACTGCTAAGATCTTCCAAGTTTGGGGGAAGAAATGCTGTATTTTAGAATGTTTTAAAATACTAGATTTACAAAGAGCTCTTCTACCCTGGATCATCTCTAAACCATCTTTAGCTCTGACACAAAATTCAGAAGTGAGCAAAAGAAAAATCTTTGATCCACCTCTGGCTGGGACACAAGATTTAGAGATCAGCAAATGAAAGTTCAGAGAATGATCTTTCATACTTGTAAATGTTTCAATGATACCAGATAGGAGCCGGGGAGGAAATCTGGGACTATAAATATATATGATGTTCAAACTTTGTGTATTTATAGATAATAATTAAAGACTATGAAGCCAAGCACGGACCTATGGTCTCAATACTTAGGCAAGTGAGGCAGAAGGATTGTGAGGTTGAGGCCAACTGGGTCTTTGTAGCAATTCTGAGGTCTACATGAGGTTTACTCCATCATAAAGAACCAGTATCAGACTTCCAGCCACGGCCTCCAGCTGCAAGCACACTAGAACTTCTTCTCACTGTTTCTTATTAATTAGAATCACTGTAATAATATAAATCTGTCTGAAATAGTCAAATGTGTTTTTAAAACATGAAAAAATATAAAACACAGAAAATGAGTCTGCAGCTGCACACACTCTAGTAATTCCGAGTTTTAAACTGTCTCGCTTTTTTGTATCATATAAACATGAACACAGGAATATGCTTACTTTATTAACTATTGATTATGGTTTTTGTACTCAGTTGTAAAAGAGAACTGCTTTATTTGTAGTATATATATAAAACACTTCTAAGCATTACCAAAAATGGTATGCTACACTACCGCAATTTTTAAAACAAATTATTACAAGTCTAAAAATATAAATACTTGAGTATTGGTAATCACTATTTGTAGGTAACAAACATAGATTTTTGTTTTTATGGAAATAAAATTCAATGGTAAGGCTCTTTTTTAAAAGCATGATTCACAAGACGTAAAAACATGGTTCCAAGTTGTATTCCCATTAAAATGCTCTCTGGGAGCTCACTCTGTCAGAATCTTTCGGAGAGGGCACTGCTGCATTCCTTACAAAGGCCATAAATGCAACATAATTGTCTGTGAATACCATATATGTTGAAAATACTCTGTATGTCCAAAGTTAGATTTATTTTAACTACTGTGTCATTCTAGAAAAATTACACTTTGCCAAACTAGGTCTGTAGAAAGGAAACCAGAATTTATACATAAACAGGACATTAGCTCAAAAAGTCAATGAGACTCTTCTTTCAGAAAGTTGGCTCCTTTTCAAAATAAAGGTAAAAAAAAAAAAAGAATATAATTACAAGAGTTTCTTTTACAGTTATACCAAAAGGACTGACTCCCTGCAGCTTAGAAATGATGTCTTGAGCCTAAAGCAGCCATTTAGCCTTGATGTGCCTGCACGGACAGTCCAGGACACACAGGAGACACCCAGCACCGCCTCTCCTCTGAAAGCTACCCATTGTACCTATGAGACTACAAGTTACTCTCAGACCCAACTTTCCTCCCAGAAAAATGCACAGACCAGCACAGAAGGGAAGGGATGAAGATGCGGAGGAGATACAACCAAGCGGCCACCTGTCAGGTGACTTTGTGTTACGCTCTGAAAGGAGACAAGCCGCCTGTGTGTTTGCCTTCTTCCCTCACTATTTAACAGATTCTTTGAGAGGCACTGGGCACTCGGCCCGCACAGCCGCCTTTAGGACTTTCTAAACGTGAACTGGAACACAAAGGCAGTGTTTGTTGGTTGGTTGGTTTGTTTTCCTAACCACAATACAACACTTAAGACTTTAAACTGCAGGTGATAATTTTTTTAGACATTTTGTAATTAATAAAAATTCCTTTTAATGTTTCAACAAGTAACAGATTGGCATTTGATCAAGTTAAAAAAACACTTTCCTTGAATTCTGAAAAACATTTTTCTTGATTTACAGTCCTAATAAAATACATTTGAAAACAGAACTGACTGAATTACTGCAAGTAAAACCGTCAGCCCACAAACCTCACACTTCTAAGTCCAGGGCTTTAGGTTTCACTTTAGCATGACTTTCAAGCACCCAGGTTTAATTTCAGAAAACCTGTAGAAATAAGAAATGAGTTATTTAAAAATAAAACTTTTAAACTACTTAAAGAACCTATCTTGTAATCAATTTGAATTGTCTATACTTAATATCTGTTACCAACACTGCCTCCTCTACTAACATCCAGGACCAACATCTCTGTTGCAATCCCCCTGATTTATTGTCAAAGAAAACACAACCCTAAAGCTGCAGGTTATTCTAGATCACTAGTCAAGATAACTTAGGGTTTTTCAAAACTTCTCAAGCCTGAATTTGACCTTCATGAAGAAGAGTCTCCTGTATGAAAGATAAGATGTTGAATTACCTCAACATGACAAAGTTCTAATCTAACCAACCCAATTGTAAAACTAGCCCTGAAAGTCTTCTAACTTTTATGTACAAAATTAATACTACTGTTTCTAAAGGTAAACAAGTAATATCTCATTGCATGGCATAAAAAAGTCTTATAATAACTGCGACTGGAAGATTCCCAGGGGAGGGGAGAGCTTTGATGACGGGCGTTCTCAGAGAACCGCTGAGCAGTAAGGCTCTACCTTTGGGTTCCCCGTATCTGTTTCTATTGCTGGCTAATGACTACAATGGAAAAGGACACTCCATATCTGTCAATAAAAATCAATTGTGCATTTAACTTAGAGGACATACAAACTCAGCTACAACTTTGGCTATAGTTTAAACACATCCAAATTCTACCTATTTCAGGCAAAGCCCCACAAATGCATTTTGTCCTTCAAAACCAGCAAGGCCTAAACCCTCGTATGTCCTCTAGTTCTGCTCGGTGGTTACAGTAACACAGGATTCAAAAATACTTTTTTTTTTTTATTTTAAATTTACAATAGAAAGTCTTAGCAGATTGTTACTGAAAAAGCCATCTTTTCCTCTGGTTTCTTGTTACCAGACAATAAAAACCTAGCAAGAAAAGTTACCCTTTAACCACCAATTTGTGACTGAAATCTGATAGCTGAACTGAGGTGACTATCAGAGTAGGTTTGAACATCTGGGTAGCAGAAGTCCACACTCACCTAAAGCTGTGGCTTGTGAGGTATTTAATGACAGCTGGTTTGATTCGAGCAACTCCCCCCTGGCTGTGGTTTCCTCTCCCAGTAATCACTGACAGATAGGGCTTACCGCCACTCTGCTTAAATTCTGTTAAAATGGGAATTAGAACAATTAAAATCATTTTTACATTCATTTTTTACATTCTTAACAGAAAATCTAACTATTCAAAAGCATATGAAAATTTTTTATGATGTCCTAAAGATTTAAAACTCAAGGAGGGGTTATGTTTTAAAATACACAGAGCCTTGAGCAGTTTATCCATCTACAGACTTGAGTGGAACTAGACTTTGAGCACACACTTGGTAGCAGGGGCTGAGACAGAGGATGTGGAGTAAGGTAGCCAGGTGAGTTTGAAGTCAGTCTGAGGCACACAGTGAGACGGTACTGAGAGAGAGATTTCCAATTACTCCAAGCCTTTCTGAATAATGACAGCAATATTAATTATATCCAAAAATTGCTACACACCTTGACTCAGACATTGCTTTATATGACATATATTTGTGAATTAGAATCAACCCTATTAATGAAACACTCTAAAGCCAATGAGCTTTAGTAGGAATCACAGTGCTACCAATCAACTGTGTGTGTCCATGGGTAAATTCATTGGCTTCTTGGTACCTGTTTCTTCACATTAAGAAAGGAGATAATAACAGCCATTATTTTATAGATCACTTCCAGGAACAGCTAGCTATTAGCAAATCTACTTTTAACATGGTCTATCAAAGAAAATTCATTGTTAAATTCTTCCCAGGAGAGAATTTTTTAAAATATTGAATGACACTCATCTCTTGAAAATATACAGCTGCTACTTCATATTTGACCTTGGGAAGGTAGATACATAAATTCTGAGATCAATAATAGCTCTAATAGAGTAACAGCAACAATAAAAACAAAGGAGTCCTATTAATAGTAAAGTACTTAATGTAAAAAATTTATGTTCTCATTCATAAATAGCCTAAGTTTGTATGTGGGTATAATTAAACATTTCACTATACATCTCTGGCTGACTTGGAACTTGTACTGTAGACCAGATTCTCCTCAAACACACAGAGAGCCACCTGCCTCTGACTTCTGAGACTAAAGGTGTGCGTGTGCCTCTATGCTCAATCTGATATATTTTTTAGAGAGCTATAAATCAAAGGTTTTCCTTCTCTCTATTTTTATGTTTACTTTTTAAAAATCAGAGTTATTTCTCCTCTATTCCCAGTCTTTATTTTCTTATTGCATCTTCATGATGATGCTTACATTGTTCCCCTGTCCCCTGTGAATCCCTGTAACTAATCACATCCAAACTGTTGAGTTTCTGGTTTATCTGAGGGCAAAAGTACTTCACAGGTATGTGTGTACACACTCACAAGGCACAGAGGACCCAGATGTCTCTATTTAGCCTCAGTTTTGAAAATTCTTTTATTTTATGAGTAAAACATAATGCAGAATACCCCACAGATTCCTACCCCTACCCCAACACTTCTAGTCAGCAATTCTGCCATCTGGTGGTAAGTGGTAGGCAAGCTCCCCTAAGCATGCACAAGATGGCTTTTTGCACCTTGGGTCTGACCAAATGCTACCCTGGGCAAGTTACTGCTGAGCCCTTGGAAGGCAGACCTCAAGAGTTCCCAGATAGCCTGATCTACAGAGAGTTCCAGAACAACAGTGCTAAATAGAGAAACTCTGTCTTGGAAAAACAAAACCAAAAGGAAAAAGAAGATTGAAAAGAAATATAAAAGGAAGTATTTTTAAAAATGAGAAAAAGTAAAATATCTGCATTTGTTACAGATTAGTCTATAAACACTGTATTATTCTATAACCTCAGTTATAGAATAACACAGTTGCAATGTTTCAGATGAATTCTCAGTCTTATACAGCAATTCCACTTCATCACAAGTGATAACTGCTGAATTAATAAATGTATATAAAGTGCAACAATACAGGCCATCTTTATAACTCAACACTTGTCCAGTATTAGTGTGTGAGATAAGCAAGACGGACTGCACTTTCTATGGAGCACGACCACTGAAGAGAGTGACACAGACACTACACAGTGAGACACTTTACTGAGTGAGGTCTTGAAAAAGATCTAGCTAAGATCCTGGGAAAATAAACAATTTAGGAAATGACAGGTGTGGCCTTTCGTGTTACCTGTGTGACTAAATATCAGCAGAAAGAAAGGGACACTGACGTACTGCAGGTGTTTAGAAAGCCTGCCTCTGAGGCAATTCTGTAAAAGTCCTATCACCTTATTTGCTTTTGTAGCTGCACAAACATCTACTAAAGACAGTATTCAAGGCAGGTTCCATTTATCAGTCACAGAGGATTCCCGTGTTTATTGTGACCCATCCTTTACAGATGTAATAAAGGAATAGAAATAAGTCCAAGAAAGAAAGCTTAATGGTCACACCAATGAAAATTCTTTGAGGAATGACTAACACGAATGTCTACAAAGAAAGCAGATAGTCCCAGTCTGCACAGGCAGATTCACTGTGTTTGGCAAGGTCTGTCAATGCCAACGTCATCAGCATATCCCTACCTTCTGTTTTCTGCTGTAGAACCGCTGTCAAATGTTCTATAGCTTCATCTACATGCAGCCCATGGAGGTCTAAGACATTCTGCGGTAGCAGAGAGGCATTGACTTTCTCAAAGATCTCCACAGCAGCAAGGTGATTGGCTTCTTTCATCTTCTGCTCATGCAGACTGCCCTTTAATCATACAGACATCACCAACAGAAACTTTTAATTACCACTTAAGACAAGCAAAGGAGCAGAAGTGCCCTGAATAAAACTCGGAACACTAAATTTAGTATCTTGATGAAGAAATAAGCTAAAAGATGATGGAACAAACTTTGGAAAAACTTAGTAAATTAATAATAATATGGTTCTTAAACTATTCATAATAGTAAAATTTTTTTTAAAATCCTTAAACAAAATTCATAAAAGAAAACAATGTTTAGCTCAGGAAAGAATCAATAGGTTTAATGTTTGATTTGATTAATAAAGTGTATTCTTTGATAATCATGGGTCTCTCAGCTTGATGGTCCCTTTAAAACAGTTTCTAGTTACCCCCTGCCCAAGGACTGTTGTTAGGGCTCTAAGGGGTATCCTAGTTTGACACCTTCTGTTTAGGACAACCTGAGTTCAAGTCAATGTAAGAAGCAAGGCATATCTGTATGTGTCCTAACCCCAGCATCAGGGGAAGAGACAGGTAGATCCCAGAAGCTCGCTGGCAAGCCAGCCTAGCTGAAAGGTTAAACTTCTAGCTCAGCATTTCCTTACTGCCTGTCTTATGGCGGTAAATGGGGATGTGACAGTGGAAGACCCTGTCCTCCTCTGGCCTCTGTGTCCACAGAACAAGCACTCACACACTAATGTGCATGTACCAAATATATATACAAGATACAACATACACAGACACACATAGATAAATGCTTTACTAAAAATCGAAACATCATAGACAATGTAAGACCCATGTGACTCCTGTCTAACACATCCTTTTCTGCTTTCTTTCTTTCTCCCAGGAAACATCTATCTGCTCAGACATACTAGTAAATGATAAACTGCTAAGGAGACCATCAAATGATTCAATTTAACCCAAAGGAAAAGTTGGGAAAACAAATTACAATTCCCCAGGCCTAGTGGTACACAGCCATACTCTCAGGAACTTGCAAAGCTACGAAACAGAATGACAAGTGCAAGGGCAGCCTGGATAATTTAGTGAGACTCAGTCTTAATATAAAACATAAATGATAAGAAAAAAGGAGAGGAGAAAAGAGAGGAGAAGAGGGGAGGGGAAGGGAGGGGAGGGGATACAGCTCAGTGGTAGATCACTTGCTCTAGTCTGTACGAGAGCAAGTTCACACTGAAGCCTGAAGAACAACTGTACTCATGACACTACACATACAGAAGCAATGACAGAAACTCAACAAAGATGACCAAGGTTTCACAATCATGGCGTTCTATTAGGTCACTTTATATGTCACTTATATGATCTCTAAATCCTTCCCCAATTGTTAACCAAAACTTATGTGCTAAGGCTACTTAAATACCATAACTGATGAACAAACTGCAACAGTTTTCCACTTCACCTGTTGAGCATAAAAGGTGGCCACATTCTTCTTCCCCATGCGGTAGGCTTCCTTGGCCTTGCTGTAGCACTCCATCCTCTTCTGCTGGTGCAGGAAAGCCTCTGCCCTGTAGTCATCATACTCAGGGTACTCAAAATCCTGGAAAGAGGGGTCACCTGGGGGATCCTCAGCCTCTTTTGGTTTCTTTGCCTAGAACACAATGTGTAATGCACAGAGCAAGTTTGGAATGGATGTCTTATTCTGGATGGATGTCTTCTTGTCAGAAAATGTATGCCCAAACTAGGCCTGAGCCAGGCGTGGTGGTACATGTCTGTAATCTTAGTATTCAGCTATCACGAAAAAGCAGGAAGACCAGGCAACTGTATGTGTTCAGCATGATAGGGTCATAGACAGAAGATCACAACAGCCTGGCTACACAGAAATTGGAGGCTACCCTGGAATACGTGAAATTCTGTTTAATCCCAGCAATTGGGAGACAGAGATTGGTGGATCTCTGAGTTCAAAGCCAGCCTGATCTAGCCTGATCTACAGAAGGAGTTCCAGGAAGCCAGGACTACAGAGAAACCCTACCTTGGGAGTTGGGAGGAAGCAGGCAAGGAAGAAAGCAAATGAACAGCTAGACTGGTCTTTTCCCAGTGACTTCCTACCATCGGCTCTTTCACGTCACTAACATTACCCCTTCTTCACACTTTTAGGAGACATAGAGATGTTCTTCAAAATTATTATTTCCTTTTTGGCAGGGGAAGAGGGAGGAGACAGGGTTTCTCTGTGTAGCCCTGGCCATCCTGGAACTCACTCTGTAGACCAGGCCAGCCTCAAACTCAGAGACCCACCTGCCTCTGCTTCCTCCCTGAGTACTGGGATTAAAAGACTGTACCACAACAGCCACCACCAGCTGTTCTTCACAATTATTAAAATATAATTAGGTCACAAAATCAAGTCCAAAGATAGAAGGTAAAATAAAGAGCAATATGAATTTATTCAACACAGAAATCCACGTTTTAGTTTGTGTTTAAACCTATTCCAAGTTTCAAGCCTTGGACTATGTTACACATCTATCTTCTCAGCACTCCAGGACAGACAGGGATCAGGTCACTCTTGACCACACAGGGAGTATGAAGCCAGCTTGAGGTACATGATGTCTTGCTTTAGACAAACAAACAAAAAGTTTCAAGGTAACAATGAGAAATTTCAACTTATGGTTTTCAAAAGCCAATTAAAAACAAATTAATTAAAAAACCAGAATACCTCGTGTAGTTAGCATGGCTGATAATAAAGACCATAAGCGCCTTTATGGGTAGACTTCAACTATAGTACCATCAGACACTGCCTCAGGTAGAGGGCTTCAGGAGTCTTTTACAATAAAGCCTGGACCCTCACAATTCCAGTATCATGGAGACTAAGCAGTTGGATTGAAAACAGTATAAGCTACATATCAAGATCCTCTCTCAGAAACCAAACACTGCAACAAAGTGTGGTTCTCTTTGCGTGTGCACTCACATGTGCATGTGATATAACTGTTACTCAAACCAGATCCTTAAAGAAGCAAATCACTCTTATGTAAAATATAAGATAGTGAAAATAATAATTATACAAACTGTCCATATGCTTTCCATCAAAGAAGAAAGCTGTATTTTGGGTAATATTTTCAGACAATATATCCAGATACTTTTCAAACAGTGGTTCTCAACCTGTGCTTCACAAACTCTTTGTGAGTCACATATCAGATATTTACTTTATGATTTATAGCAATAGCATAATTACAGTTATGAAGTAGCAACAAAATAACTTTATGGTTGGGGTAACCACAACATGATAACCTTTTAAAGGATCAGAGCATTAGGAAGGTTAAGAACCACTGCTTTAGAATATCAAAAGCTAATGTTTAAAAATAAAAATATAGTAATCTCTAAGTCAAACTGTCTTTTCATTAATTCTTTTCTTCAAAGTTATTTTTTGCAGAGAACACTTACAAATAGTAATCTATGTCTTATCTTAAGAGATATATGGTTTTAATTGATTTATGGAAATCTTAACAGTATTATATAATACTGTATGTACTGTATATATGTAAGTACTATAAAAATGTTGTATGTATTATGTTATATATGACATTTCTAACTGATAAAAATACTAAGGAAAACTAACCTAATATATAATAATAGTTATATAATTTCCTCATTAATATTTTGCTTAGATCCTGGAACTGTAGAGGTTTAAAATAACGGACATCACCATGCTCTCCAAAAACCTTAATTATGAGCCAGGCATGGTGACCCAGAACTTGAATCACAGTACTTAAGAGACAAGAGGATCTCTGAATTCAAGGCTACTCTGGTCGACACATAGCTCTAGGCTAGCCAGCCAGAAACCCTGTCTCAAAAACAGACAAAACAAAGAAGAGGACTGTAGAAACGGTTCAATGTTAAGAGCATCTGCTATTCTTGCAGAGGACCTCGGGGTTTGGTTACCAGCACCTACATGGCATCTCACAACTTCTTGTAACTGGAATTTTGAAGGTATCTGATACCTTTTTCTGGCCTCCATTGGCCCTGCACACAGAGTGCACATATATGCATACATGTACATAGGTAAGACACCCAAATACGTGAAATCAAATGAAGCAACAAGAAACTCTGATGCTGATACAAGACTGCAAGTAAGAATCAACCACAATTCTATTGATTTATAACAAGTTATTTAAACATAGAATAAAGCATTTTCAAGGTAAAACAGAGAAACCACTTAAAGAAGTTGTTAAATATTTCTGCCCACATATTTAGACTCTAAGATCTATGATATAATAAAAATCATTTCTTTCAATTATGCCTCATAAGCTACTGTGTCAACACAGAAACGTCTACACGAGGCAGAGGCAGATGGATCTTAAGTTTGAGTTCAGCCTGGTCTACACACAGCAAGTTCCAGGACAGCCAGGGATACACAGAGAAACCCTGCCTAAGGAAAAAAAGAAAATCTACACAGAATCTACAGAAATTTAAACTTAGATGCTTATCATTGTATAACAATATTAAGTAAGAACATATTTAGGTATAAGTTCATTCTCTGAGTACACAGATATTCTTTAAAAGAATATTATTGGTCATTAAAATTTCAATCTACTCAAAATGGTGAAAAATAATCATTAAATTATTATACCCAATAAACAAACCACATATATATATTTGCCAACAGGGTAAAAGATCAAATCAGTCCATACCTTTTTCTCTTTCGATTTCTGTGCAGTATGAGAAGTGCTATTCTCATTTTGGTGAACACACTCTTGAGCTACAACTGTTTTCACAGGGTCTCCTTCAAGAACACAGTTTAGAAACTGTACCGTGTTTTCCAGTGAATAGCTGTTTAAATATATTTAAATAGAGGAAAATGAAAGTTCTGTGGCATAATCACCATAAAGCATTTTCAAGCATTTTCTAAGAGCACTGGCTGCTTTGGCAGAGAACCCAGGTTTGGTTCCCAGCATCTACATGACTGCTCACAACTATGTGTAACTCCAGTTCCAGTTCTGTGGGCACTAGGCATACATGGGGCACACATACATATATGTGGGCAAACACTCATATCTATAAAATACCAATAAATATTTTTAATTTTTTAAAAGTGTAAGAAATTGGCTTAGTTTTAAGTTTTTAATACTGAAATATAACACGCTCAAAGACTTAGAATGATCTCAGGGAAAATAAAAAGTAATCAGGTCTCAACTTTAAGATAGGTCTCAATGCAGCCCTGGGTGCTCAGGAACTTGCTACAGACATCAAGTTGGTCTAACCTCAGAGACCTGCCTGCCTCTGCCTCCTTAATGTCGTCTAATGATGAGGACCAACCCCAAGGCCTGTTCATTCCAGCCAAGCACTTTATCCCCAGCCTCAAAATCTAATTTTCAAAAGTGCTACCAAGCCAGGTACAATGGCACATACCACAACTCTAGCTATACAGGTAGCCAGGGAGGAGGATCACAAGTTTAAGGCCAACCTGGGCTACAGAGCAAAATCCTGGCTTAAAATAAAAATAAAACCAGGTTGGGAATACAGCTCAGTGCTAGGGCACCTGCCTAGCATATAGCTGCCTCTGGTTTAATCGTCCATGGTGGAAAACACAGGGAGAAAGAGAAATGAGGAGAGTCATGGGTACTAAGTCACAATTAAGTATGAGTAATACAGTTATGTGTAGCAGATTATAGAAAACAACTATATGCTGAGCACTTCAAGAAGCCAGAAAAGTGTCCTGGAAGGTCTGTCGGCATTTTTATTTATCATTTTATTTTATGTGTATGGACGTTTCACCTGCATGTATGTCTGTACCATATGTATGCCTGGTACCCGAGGAGTCCAGAAGAGGGTTATCAGTTTCCCTGAACTGGAGTTACTGACAGATGTAAGCCACCATGGTGTTAGTAATCAAACTCTGGTCCTCTGAAGTGCAGCGACTGCCCTTAAACACTGAGCCATCTCTCAGTTCCAAACTCGGAAAGCTAGCAGCAGTAGTACTAGTACTTGTGGTAGTACTAGTACTTGTGGTAGTACTGGTAGTACTAGTAAATGGGCAGGTGCAATAGCTCAACAGGTCGTCTTGCTCCCACATCTGATGACCTGAGTTGGATCCCCAGAGTCCACATATTAAAAGGAGAGAACCAAGTTTCAAGAGCTGCTCTCTGACCTGCACACTCACCCCTGGCTGCTTGCACACACAATAAATAAACAAATGAGGAATGAGTAAAAACTCAGGTGTTAAAAAAAAAAAAAACAAAACCCATGTTGCCATGCATGGTGGTACATGCCTTTAATCGCAAGGCTCAGAGGCAGGAAGATCTCTGCAAGCTTGACACTAGCCTGGTCTATAAAGAGAGTTCAGGATAGCCAGGACTTTGGAAAAAACATGTTAACCTAATTAAAACACTACACAATGGACACATGGATCAAAACATTTTACCACTCACTAATATGCACAATTTTGTGTTTTATATACAGTCAAAATTAACTTAACCAGGTGGGGATATGGCCTAGTTGGTAGAATACCTGGCTAACATGTAGGAAGTCCTGTGTTTGATCCCCATAACTACATAAAATTGACCATAAGGGCTTGTAAGCCTAGAATTTGAGAGGTGGAGGCAGCAAGGTCAGAAGTTCTAGGTCACCCTTAGCTACCTAGCAAGGTTAAGGACAGTCTGGATACATGTGACCATTATATGATTTTAACAAAACAGAGTTGGAAAGACCTGGGCTCAATCCCTAACAACAAAAACAATAGTAGGAGGTAACTCTGATAACTGGATTTCTCATTTTTAACAATTATTTATTTTAAAGATAGGCTACTTAGCCCTTGCTTGTCTAGAACTTACAGCATGTCAGGCTGAGTTCCTGCCTATTTCAGGCACATTAGCTGAATGTTTCTTTTAATTGCAAGATCTATATTCCATGAATCTTTTGAGAATCTATACATAGTTTCAGTTTCCTTCGAAAATCAAACACAGATAATACAATTCCATGCTGATATTTGTATTTTAATGAACTCCACTTAAAACCATGAGATTCTAATTTAAAATTGGAAGTAAAACACTGTCTACCTCTCAGCTACCTGTTGTTTCCCATGATGAAAAAGTAACAAAAAAAATTTAAAGAAAAATTTAACAAGGAATACAAGACAGTTGTTAGAAATTTGCACTTTCTGAACAACATATATATCAAATTTAACAATTTGTTAAATGAACACTAGAGATCATTTGACAAATCTGTCCAGGGAGACTAGCTAGTCCTTTGAGCACTCACTCACTTGTGATCCTTGAAAATGTCCACCAGGAAATTTTGATTAATGGCTGGAAATATTTTAAAGAGCTGCTTCTCCTTTAGTTTTGTGGCACAGTCTTTTTCAAACATAAGTGTCTCCCGTTTCTAAAACAAAACAAAAAACAATCACCCATAAGATGAAAATTTGTAAGATGCAATTTGTAACCCAGACAATACTGAACAAAAGTCTAATTAATTATTCTGTTGTAGCCGGGTGGTGGTGGCATATGCCTTCTTTAATCACATAATGATGCTTTACTTGGGACATTACCAATTATTAATCAATGTAACTATTAAAAAGATAGGATATAAATTAACAAAGATTAGCTAGCAAGTAAAATTAATATATAAGTCCATGTCAATCCTGTAAATTGCTACAAATTTAGTTCTGAGCCCCCTGAGTAGTAAAAGCAAAGGGGAAACATTCTCAGTGTTCATAAAATAAAAACAAGCCAGCTGCTCAGGAGAAGTATAGCTTTTCTGGCACTGAAACCCAAAAGAAATGCCCCCCATGAGTCCTCAGTAAGAGACATGGTGTGATGCTGTGACCATACTTTCCTCAATAGGCAGAAGCTACAATGTACAAATGTTACAAATTCAGATTGGCAGAAAACCTTAACACTCTTAATTGTTTAAAATTTTTTTACAAATATATTTACTAAAAGATAGCTATTTTTTCACACTCCATAAAGTTGCCTACCTAGAACTACTACTCCAGCCAAGCAGAGTTCCAAATGTGTATAACGCTTGACATATAAGATAGAAAGGTGGATGCCGGGCAGTGGTGGCGCACGCCTTTGATCCCAGCACTTGGGAGGCAGAGGCAGGAGGATTTCTGAGTTCGAGGCCATCCTGGTCTACAGAGTGAGTTCCAGGACAGCCAGGGCTACACAGAGAAGCCCTGTCTCGAAAAACAAACAAAAAAAACAAAAAGGGGAAAAAAAACAAAAACAAAAACAAACAAACAAGCAAACAAAAAACACTAAGATAGAAAGGTGGAGAGTTCAAGACCAGTCTGGGCTATGTACTGAAATCCAGGCACAATAAGGTAAAACTCCTAAATAAGTAGATAAAGTAAAACTGCCAGACTTTCCTAGTTTCCTAAATAGTTCTCTCTGTCCCCACCTGTGTGACACAGGGTGGTATGTACTGCACGCTCCCTGTGATGGACAGACGGATGGACGGACGGACGGCTCCATCACAGTCTACCTTCCTCCCTTAGATGGTGTCTCCACAGTGGTCTTCCTGTGTACACCCAACAGCTCAGATGCTAGCACACCCACTTTTTAAAATTTAGTATGATAGTGTTGAGGGGTTTGCACTCAAGACCTCATGCTTGACAGAAGGATTCTTACTCACTGAGCCATGTCCTTGGAGTTCCTAGAGTATCTTCTTTAAATTCTAAACTAAATTATGAAAAAGACTGTTAAAGTAGCTGAGCAGGGGTGACACATCCCTTTAATCCCAGCAGGTATATCAGCCTGCCAGCCTGGTCTACAGGGTGAATTTTAGGACAGCCAGGACTACACAGAGAAACCCTGTCTCAATAAACAAACAAGAGGAGGGAGAGGGAGAGAGAGGGAAAGAGGGGAAGAGGGAGAGAAGGGAAGAGGGAGAGAGGGGGAGAGAGGAGGAACTTCTTAAAAGTAACTTTAATACTTTCTAGTGTTGACAACATAGTTATAATTTTTGCTTGTCATTCAGACTCTAATCTCTGAAAAATAACCTATAAAATTTCAAAGGCAATTAAAGTAACCCTGAAACTTTCTAAATTAGGAATTTTAATAACAATCCTAGAATTATCTGTTTAAAGTTTAGTTACATTGAACTCATCTGTAGCACCCAACAGCAGTCAGAAGGGAAGCTGTAAGGCTCCGCCCAGGAAATGACTAACTAAGTGAACTTGTCACAGAGTAGTGGAGACAAGCAGATCAGGAACCTGAGCTGCATGAGCCCTGTCTCAAAAGAAACAAAGTATTTCCCATATGCTCTATAACCTGAATTAACATCTCCACAAAGAATCCTCAATGCTAAGAGCCCTGGTGATCTAAGGGTCACGCTTCTAAACTACAAATCCTAACATGGCTGGACTATAAACTTAGGATCTTTTTCTGTGAGGATGACACATCTTTAAAAAAAGCAATACAATTATTGTGACTAAATAATGTATGATACTATCTTTAAATGAAAGATTTCGTATTTTTCTATAAGTAAAAAATGACTGAAGTAAATGCTAAAATTTACCAGTGAAGCCAGTGGTGGCTCACTCCTTTACTCCTAGCACACAGGAGACAAAGTCAGAGCTCTGGGTTCAAGGCCAGCTTGATCTATAAAGTGTGTTCCAATAAAGTCAGGGCTACACAGGGAAACCCTGTCTCAAAAATAAAACAAAACCAAATTAAACAAATGAAACTACCAATGACACAGTTTTATAGCCTGAAATAATTAAATCTAACACACATACGTAACATGACAGCTTACACATACCAGTGTCAGCTAGAAGCAAAGCCTCGACTTCAGATTCTATCTACACACCTTTCAGTTTTAATATTGCCTTCAACCAGGTTAAATATGAGAGACACAGAATTAAATGGAAATCACATGTAACTAACACTGCAGCCAGAGACCACGGGTTAGTATCTGTGTCAACCCTTACCAAGTCATGTTTCTCCTGTAAGGCAATTTCTTCTGACATTATTTCCCGAAGTGAAACTTTTTTTGTTTGAGTGTTCCAGTGATCCAGGGTCTCAGGTGCTGCTAAAGTCTTCAATAATCTTTTGCCTGTTTTCTGAGATGATTTTTGTTCAGAATTATCAAAAACAGTATGTCCAGCCAGCAAAGGATCTACAAGAGTAATATAGTGTCACAGATTCAGCAATTAATGTACAAATTAAGCATTAGTCACAAGACAGTCCTTTTCAGCTTATGGTCCTTTACAGCTTAAAGTCCTTTTCAGCTTATAATCTGACTTTGAAATTTCAAAATAAATCTTCATGTAACCACAAGCAAGTATTTCACATGAGCAATGACCTAGGCATAACCATAAATCAGTTCAATGAATGTTTCCCGTTCTTTTGTGTGTCACTTTGACTCCCTCCCTCCCCAATAAAAAGGCTGAGTAGTGAGCGACAGGGAGAGCTGTGCTCAGCCCCACTCTCCTCCGAGAACTGAGGAAAGTAACATGCTGACAAATACTAACAGACCAAAGGACACTACAAATAGGGAGTTACACTCAAAGAGCAGAGCTTGAGGTTCACAGTCACAGCAGATAGGCACATTCTGACAGATTCCTGTCTCTGTGGGGAGTGAAGAGTGGGGCAGCTGCTGCAGCCCCAAGCAGTCACATAACCACTATATAGTCCTGTCACTTCTACCCTTAGGTAGTGCTGCTTATACTCTTAGGTGTGTGCCCAGCTTCTCTCCGGAAGCTGTAACTTGAGCACAAGCCTGAACTAAAGTGGAGCCCAAGAATCTTCACCCTACAGTTCCTCGTCTCAGCTGCAGTGTGGAGTGCACGGAAGTATTCAAAGTGCTTCTTTACAGAAGGAGGCCTTTCTTACCAGGCCTGCGTGACAGAAGTCACTGGAGACAACACTGTGTAAGAAGTCATCTGGAAGCAAGGACCTTCATGATTCAGGTTTATCTTTGTCATCTAAGACACTGATATCAATAAAGATGTGAATAGCCAAGTAATAATTCTATAATGCTATCAAGAAAATAAACCAAAAGCATTTTAAAACCTTACCAAGAAGCTCTCTGACAACATGTATCAGCACACTTCAGATACTGTAGCAGCTATGATAAACAGTACTCAGCCTTATTTTCCTCTAAGTTTCTAGTCTGCATCAAGATTCTTTTTTGTTTTGTTGTTGGTTTTTTTTGTTTTTGTTTTTTGAGAGAGAGAGAGAGAAACATGAGCATTTATTTGTAGCTGGGCATGCTGTGATATCCTAGCACTCAAAAAGCTTTAAAAAAATATTGCAAATTTGAGACCAGCCTTTGCTACAGTGTCTCAATAAATACACAAAAAGGCAAGTTGGTTTTTTTTTTTTAAGATTTATTTATTTTTATGTATATGAGTACACTGTGGTTGTCTTTAGACATACCAGAAGAGGGCATTGAATCCCATTCCAGATGGTTGGGAGCCACCATGTGGTTACTGGGAATTGAACTCAGGTTGTCTGCAAGAGCAATCAGTGCTCTTAACCGCCTAGCCATCTCTCCAGCCCCAGCAAGTTTTTAAGAGGATTTCTTGCTGGGCGGTGGTGACATACACCTTTAATTCTAGCCCTATGGAGGCAAAAGCAGGGCAATCTCTGTGAGTTCAAGGCCAGCCTGGTCTATAAAGCAAGTTCTAGGACAGCCAGGACTATTTAAAAAAAAAAAAGTCTCAACCCCACACACACAAGGTTTTGGGTTTTTTTGTTTGTTTGTTTGTTTGTTTTTGTTTGGTTTTTTTTCCATTTGTAAATCAAAATTCTTGGAGACATAGTCAGTAAAAGCACCTGCTGCCAAACCTGACTGAGTTCAATCCCAAGAATCCACATGGTGGAAGGAGATACCTGCAAACATCCCTCTGACCTCTATACATACACTATGATATACACACTCTCCATACACACATGAACACACACACTTTTTTTTTAAATCTTTGGGCAACATATTTTAAGGAAGTACACTTAGAATGAATTAAAAATATATATGCAGTCAACATTTCAACATCAAAGTGTAAAGATGTACTTTTACCTTGCATGCACTTGCCACGAGAAACCTCCTCTTGTCTCTGTCGCTCCTAAACACAAAGGCAGAGAGCAAGGATGGGAAAAGAGGGTGCCATGGCAAACACGGCTACAGGCTGTATTAGTTCTTCTTGTGAACTATGAATCACTATTAAAATTAAGTAAAATGATAAAATTATATAAATAAAATTACTAAGAAGAGCTAATGTCGGCTAGAGAGACAGCTCAGTGGTTAAGAGCATTAGCTGCTGCTCTCCCAGAAGACCCTGGTTCAACTCCCAGCATTCAAATGGCAAACTGTAACACCGGTCCCAGGGGATCTGACATCCTCTATTGTACATAAAATAAAGAGTAAAAATTAAAAAGAATATCAATATCTATACATATATGTATTCGTTCCCTAGAGCTCTGTTTAAGATTTTTAGTACTTTTAAAAATGACATGCATGTGTATAAATCTGTATGTGTGTATGAGTAAAATAACATGGGGGTGGGGGTCTTCATATGAGGAGGTTACCAACCATTACAGATTCTCTCCATTTCTCATGAATCACTTTAGCGAGATTCAGGTCTATATGAACCACACAATCCTCAACTGTTAGAGAGCCTTGTGAAGAGGAGAAAAAGAAAAAACATCATTGGTGCTCATCGCACATTTGCAGAAAACACACTCAACTACCACATGGATAAAATTAAATTTTACCATTAATTACTAATACATTTCTGTTTACTTGGGATATTTTTATGTTTTATGCCATTGTTTTCATACTTAATTGGTACAACATGCAAAACTTCATAACAAATCTATTTAAGTTAGCATACACCCCAGTAACTTAATACATTCCTCTAGCTGAGACTTCCCATAACAGTATGCTAGGAAATTAATTCCTGCATTAATCTATCAGAAACAGCACCAAGAGACTCTTTTTCCAAAAGTTCACTTTTGCAAATACATGTAAGGTAAGTACCAGGGTAACCTGCAACATGTTCATGGGTATCCTGAAATTTAAAATTCTATGTAAATATTCTCTACTTCAAATTCATTCTTTTAAATCCTTTAAAAACATGTTTTATCAAAAAAATAAAGCACATTGTAAAATTATGTGACATAAATCAGATACATTGAGCCAACAAAAATTAACTGAGCTAGAAACTGTATGCTATTTACATACACACATAATTTACTTTTTCCTTACCTGAATCAATACCAACCGGGCCAAACAGCTCATTAAGCTGGAAAGCCAGCTCCGGGGGTAGTGCCAGCTCCAGACAGTCTATGGTCAGAGATTTGGCTGTCACTGGTGCAGGAGTCAACACCTCAGTTTTACCCTCTTCACTAACTCCTACTGACCAACCAGTTCCTGGCATTAGATTTCTCTCCATTTCCTGTTTATCTTCATTGATAAATTCTTCCATGTTTGCAAATTTCATATAATCCTTAGGAAGATTTTCATTTTTCTTTACTTCCAAAGAGCCAGTAAGATAAACATCTTCATTTAATTCAGGATTTGAACTGCTTGTTGCAGAGTTTATAATATCAGATAAATTTAAAAAAGAATGAATATTGTCTCTAGTCTCTGTCACTACTAGACTTTCTTCTATTTCACTAACATCTTTAGGGATGTAAGACCGTGGAGGCTGCTCAAAGGTATACGCACCAGACAATTCAGCCTGACAGTCAGGCACTGTTTCATTATTACTCTTCACGTTTACAGTGGCATTAGGGAATATTCTGGTTATTAATTCGGGGTTTTCAGGATTTAGAGTTCTTATCCCTTCCTGCTCTGAGTTTCCCGTTTCTGGGTCACCAGCAGACTGTGCGCTGGTGTTCCTGATACCAATTCCAGGACTAAATTCTGATACAGAAGAATTAGAACCTTCTGAGGTTCCTCCGTGGCTAATAATTTCCTTCAAATCCAAGCCCATAGAAAACGGCCCAACCTGTGACTCACTGTATGACTTGGGGGGGTTCTCAACCTCAGTGTCCTCACACAGTTTAGTCTCAGAGTCCAACAAGAGGCTTGTGGCCCAAATAATGTCTTTATTACATCTCTCATACAGATCTTTCAGGGCTTCTAAGGAAAAGGATCCAAACAGTTTGCAAAGGATGTTAATATTTTCAGATTCATCGGCACTGGTGAGCTCACTTTCTTCAACGAATGTACTTTTATCATGCATCACTCTATATGGAATTGTTTCTTGAACATTTAATTTTCTAATAAGAGTAAAATCTTTTGGCTTAAACCCATCTAATCTTCCTGTCAACACTCTGACAGAATCTGAAACATTGATTTTATTCTTTTCTATTTTCCACAAGAGAGCAAAATCTTGGGGTTCAGTCTGGGTACAAGTGCCTGTATCTATTCCAGACATGATTCCAGACACCCCCACTGGAAATTCTGTTAGAGCTCGGGGCCCCACTACTCCAGGAAGAGTTGCTGCACTGCCGGAAAAGGTAAGGGGCAGTGAGTGCTGGCTATGATGCTCATGCGCTGTTTTACTGGGCAGCATTTCAGAACCCCGAAGGCTGGAACTCAGCGTCTTCAGTTCTTCGGGGCTTGTCCCCCAGTAGGCCTCGTGTGCTGGATATAAGGGTATTTCACCCAGGTTGTCATTATTTCCAAATTCTACGTTGGGTTCACTTAAGCCACCTTTTGGCATTCTCAATCTGTGCTCTCTCTGAGTTAAGGAAGCAGAGGAGGGCCAGTCGCTCACAGCGCTGAATGAGGTTTGCTCGGTACTTTTGTAAGGATCATAGTGATAGCTACTGGGCACTTCTGAAAAATCGTCGTTTCCAGATCCTTGGGGCTGGATAGCATCTGTAGTCACAGATACCCTAGTATCTAACACTTTGTGGGACTGCGGGCGATTGCATTTTTTGTCATTTTGTACAGATAAACCTTTTTCAGTTTTCCGGTTCCTTTTAGTTCTCTGGCTAATTGTCTTATCAACTGGCCAGTCACCAACAAAATTTGATAGCTCATGTTTGGGGAATTTTTCCAAAGATGATTTGCTTTTTTGTTTTCCAATGGCCTTTTTCTTTCCTGCTGTTCTTTCCTCCACTATTTCAGGAGGGGAGGGGTTCTCACTGGCAAGAGTAGCTGCACTGGCAAACTCACAGGTTTCCTGGTTGTCCTCAACACAGTAACCATGTGACGGTGCTCCCTCTGCAGCAATCCATGCGTCTGCTTCAGAATGCTCTTTTTCAGACATCATCTCTTGTTCTTTCTCACTTCTATCTGTGGCTTGAACTTTGTTTTCAGGGTTAGGAAAATAGGTGCTCGGAGCTTCCTGCAAGAAGTGGTTAGGAACGCCGTGACTCACATCACCCAACTCCGTTCTTCCTCTGTTTAAACTGGGACAAGGGAGCGGGGGATCGCTGGCAGGTGACATTGCTTGTGTGACCACTTCAAGTGTCTTCTCCTCCGGTAACTCTAAGTGCTTCGGAGACACACATGCAACACTGTCTTCTTTTGCAGAGGTAACAGCTTCACTGTCTCTTGGGCTACGAGACATTTCAAGTACGGTAAGAAAGTTTCCTCACAGTGCGATTACTACTATGATTCAAATTAAAGAATCATGCAGCCAGACAGCAGTTAGCATTTATTCTAAATATTTAAAATTAGATTACACAAAAATTATAAAAACTGGGATGGGGATATATATAACTCAATGGTAGAGCTCAGAGGCAGAACACTAGCCCAACAACTGTGTGGGGCCTTGAGTTCAATCCTCAGACTGGTGGAAGAAATAATGTAAGGACTAATCTTACCCTTTCCCTGAAATAGCACAAACACAACTCTTTACCAACATGGAACACCATGGGAAGCAGACACAAGCAAACTCTTCAGGGTGGACAGAACCCTTCAGCTGTCAGTCACAGTGAGACATGTTGACTATTTCAACGAAGGGTCTAATGTGCTCACGGGAAAGACACTGCCTTGCCAGCTTCCTTCACATCCATAGCTTAGCATATGTTACAATGGGTCTACATTTCCTACAAAGGAAGTTTTATTTCTCAACCTGTAGGTCGAAACCTCTGTCGACCCTTTCACAGGGTCACCTAAGACCATTGGGAAATATATTTATATAATAATTTATATTATTATATAATTATATATTATATAATTTATACTATGATTCATGACAGAAGCAAAATTACTGTTTTGAAGTTGCAACAAAAGTAAGTTTATGGTTGGGGTAACCACATGAGATGTACTAAAAGGTAGAAGCTCTGGATAGGCTGAGAATCACTATTTAAAGGATCTCAAAACCAACCTGTCAGAACCTAGTCCATGAGTCGTGCTGTGTGAGATCTCTCTCTGAGAGCTTGTGAGAACAAGTAAACAACAGTCTTGTGACCTCTCTTCCTCCACCACACGGGTTGTATTTGGACCGTGCTTTTGTAAAAGCCCCTCCCACATGTAATAAATAGGAGTCACCCTCCATCCATCAACCTGGATGTTAATTTCCAACTCATAGCATTATACTTTCAATGTCAACGATTTTTCCTTATTCAGTTTGTCAAGTCATTTTCCATTATCTTAGGAATTCTCACAAATCCACCTCTCCCATTCAGCTTGACCCAGTAAAAACCACGTCTGACACTAACAGAATTCTCAATGTGAGTACACTCACTAAAACCTTAAACAACATTAAAAATAAAAAAGTAATGTGGATCTACACAAAAACAATTAAAAGAGAAAAGGGAAATACCCAAAAAGGATAAGTGTAATCACTGTATGCCCACAGACTCACAAACTTAAAGGGAAAAAAAATCATCTTTCACATGAATTTTCACTTCTCTTGCTAACATCCTCAGCTGATGTCTAAATAGAAAACAAAATCTCTTTACTTTTAGTTTATCAGCCGTGATTTCAAGTCTTCAAAGCTATCATTAAAAAAGAAAC